TATATATATATAATGCACACTATAGATACTCGTATAAAGTTTAAATATATTCTCTTGTCTCGCACGTGACTAAGCTCCAACGAGCATGGTTCTTGTTTGTGCCCTTTCCTCTTTTTCCCAAAGCCATAAGCCCAATCACTTGCATTCATCTTGCTCGGTGCTGCAGGTACTCGATCTTAACTTTTCCTTTGCTAGATTGTCTGATGCCCTCACACTTGCCTACACAAGCCTACACAAATTGGTTTGATTGCTCCCAACTATTCTTTTCACGCACAATAAAGACAGACGCATTGCATCCCCTCTCCTTAGACGTGCGCTTCCTCCTCTCTATTTCGAAGCAACGCATCACAACACTGTGTTGTCTCCCTCCGGCACGCTTGCTTTCGCAACCATATTCATAGTCTCCCTCGTCCTCGTCTTCATCTTCATTATCGCACATATGGGGAAACTTTGCCTTCGTGCAACTCGCCTATTTCTCTCACCAGAAAAAATCGCTCGGCTTCGCAAGCGAGTTCGAGGTCTTCTCTCACCCTTGCACTAGTGGCCAGTTTTGTCGGACAAAACCCTAGAGAATTCGCCTCGAGCTACAAGCCTAAATTTTTTGTACTTCCTTTTCCAAACTCTTTCAGTCTCCTCTTAAGCGTTGCAAGAGCTCTCTCCTGCTCGATACAATTCTCTCTTCTTAAATGTTACAAGAGCACTCTCTCTCTCCCCTATTCAATAAGACTCTTCCGATGTAACAGAGACATTTATAGAGGAGAAATAATACAAGGGCATTACACCTACATCCTTGAGCACAAAAAAGTGTTTTTTTCTCAAGTAACTAAGGTGCAGCATGCGTCTACAGCTAGAACATGCAAAGATATTTTCTAGAATAGTGTTTGTATCGCTAATTCTGCATATTATCTCCAATAATCTGTAATATAATGACTTCTCAACTTGGAAAAGTTTAACATTTCTCGTGTTTCTTCTTTCTATTTCTTGAGATAAATTAACCAGAAAAGAAAGATTTCATTTTTTAAGGATTATCTTTCAATGAATTTCATGTGATTAAATAAAAAGTAATCAAATCTATATCGTTTCCCTCTCCCTTCTCTGACTTTTTCTCTACAAGTTAATAATGCTTCAATATACATCCAACAAAAAAATCATTAAATAATTGACCTACTTTAACCTTAAATGGCAACTACGTAATTATGTCCACTTAAAAGAGATTGTTTATAAACCTAAAACTGGCAACAGGTCATGGAAGATGTATCTTGTTTCTTACTAATTGAAGATGCTAAATTATTGTCAACACTGAGAACATAAAATAGAATGAAGTGGCAAAATTATACTCACTCGAGTCACTAGTCCAAGCTTCTCCAGCTTTTGAACAGCATCTACTACATCAAAATTGCACTGAACACCAAACTCATCCTTGATGAGCTCTTCACATCGAAAATCAAGATCCTGCCATTCGAACAATTTTAGTGAAACTAATCTACAACTAGGGGGGTAACTAAGCCAAGCTGACTTGTGAGCCTGCTCGGGCTCGGCTTGATATGTGGCTCATGAACTGATCTCGATGATCTAACAAGCCAAGCTCAAACCAACCACAACTTGATTCGTTAACTCTTGAACAGACTCGTTTAAAATATAATTAATATAAAACATACTCAAAATATATTAAAATGCTAAATTTTATCTTTAAATTTTTAAGGATATTTAAGAAAAATATATTTTATATCTTATATCAAGTAATTTTTTTTATTTATATTCTAATTACTTTTTCTAATTGTCCTTTTATTATAACACTAGTTTAAATTGATATTATTTTCTTTCTTTCATAATAAAAAAGTCAGCTTGTGCTAGCTCCAATTCGTAGAAGTAAGATTGAGCTCAAGCTTGAACTCAATTAATTAATCAAGCCCAAGCTAAAACTCAATTAATTAATCAAGCTCAAGCTTAAGTCAAAGGTTGGCTCGAGCTCAATTCGACTCGTGTACACCTCTATCTGCTATATTACGTCAACATTCAAAGTTAATAAAGTAAGAGAAAATAAAATGTTTATACTTGTATTGTTGCCTTCCCTTGCTCCATTAAAATAAAGTAAGACACTATCACTTCTTTAACCTGCCAATTAGAAGAGAACAGAAGATTTTTTACTGTTAAATGATTGCTACAAACTACAAAGTGTCTGGTATAAGATACCTACTTCTTGTTGGATCACATCATCGCACAAGTGTAGAAGTGTGCCTCTACCGCTATCTAGTTGCTTGTCATAGACCGATTTCGTTATTAAATTTTGGTAATTCACCAAGTTTTGTTGAAACCTGAAAGATGAAAAAAATTTATCAGTTGTTACAATAACAAAGGTAGATTTAACAGAAATGAGCGTTGGACTTGAGAGAGAAAGGCATCTAGATGGCTTCGGAGAGAATAAAATACGATTTGAAAAATAAAACGTGTAAAATGATAAAAACATGTAGCACGAAGTGCTCATGTTTTTCCTTAGATTTCCATTTCTTTTCACTACAGAGGGAAAAGAAAAGTTTGGCCAGTGTTGTCCTATACTTGGGACTTGTCAATGGTTAACATAAATGGTGCATCAGCATGCAAGAAATGCATGCCCATTTTTGTTAAACAGTACAAGAAAATTTTGTGCATATTAAAGTGCATGTATTATTTCTTACCTTCTTTCTCGGTTTTATTTTATTTTATTTTATTTTATTTTATTTTATTTTTGCCAAACTAATGTGCATTGTTTGTTTTTTCTGTGTGAATCTAACAGGATCTGCAATTGCAGAAAAGCTGATTGGTGTCCATGATGAATTCATGATGATAATCGAAGCGGTGTACTTACGAAAAATAAATCTTTGAACAATAGCCAATCACACCAGAAAGGATGGCTATAACAACCCAAATGTCGGATTTAGGCATTTCAAGAGAGCTAATCAGAGTTACCTGGACAGTAACACTATTAGATGAGATGTAATAATGATTTCGTTCTTAGATTTTATGGAGTAGCTGCTTAATTGTACAAGTTAATTTTTGGAAACTTACTAGTCCAATGACAACAGAACTCAAAAATTTAACCCAATCCATTGGGGTCAGGCTTGGATTCTTCTTTTCGGGCTACAAGAAAAGAATCCTAATCCAGTAAGTTACATTTCAGAGCTAGAGATCAAAGAATTTGTTTCTTTTCTATCAATTAGTGTCCTGAACTCACCAAAACCAGCTCCATATCAGCCATAGGAATGCTCCTAAAATGTTTTACATGGATTCCTCTGTCTTTCTTTTCATCGCTGCTGGCTCTCCTGGTTCAGTAAAGTTTAAATTTGTGCTAATCAATTGGAATTCCCAACACATCAATGAAGCATTATTTTTATGACAACAGAATTTAAAGCACAAAATCTCGCATCCTAAGCAGAACTTCTCTTAAGTATTTAATTTTTGGGGCATTTACCACCCAATTCCTATGTATTTAATTATACTACCGAACAAATAGAATTTACATTTATACCACCCAAACCTTTCACATCACATCAAAATACCACCATTTTAATTTTTAAAAAGTGGAATACACATTTTCATGCATGGATAAGGTGTCATGTATGCAAAAATTGAAGTTTAAGTTTTAGATATGTAAATACATAGGAATTGAGTAGTATTTGCGTAATTCTTTCTTAATTTTTAAAGCAGACATAGTAGCATGATATGCAAACTTTACCTGTAGACAACAATCATCCTATCAAAAGTTGGTTCCTGGATTGTGATCTTTCCCAACAAATTTTGCATACTGTAACAGATAGATAATTATTTTTCGAGTGAAATGAAGACTGGAAAATGATTGAAGCAAAAAAATAATGTAAGGTATGAATAATGACTTTAGTTCCATTTTTTTAAGCTGGATGCGCTCTACGTATAAGTCCGGCAATTCTGTTTCACCAACTGTTTCATCAGGTTCCTGTGACTCGCTACTTTCCATCACTTTTGTCTTTCTGGACAAAAGCTTTTTCAGCCTGTCATTTCAATTTTTTTTTTCAGATATAGAATTGCAATTTACCAGTGACTGAACTTGAAAACCGGCTTACTTAGTAACTCCGAGAATCCATTGCCAAAAACGAGCTACAAGCATATCCAATTTTTCCATGAAGAAGTAATCCGTTGTTTTGTCAATGCCAATGCCTCGTCGAAAGACTATGTACTACGTCCACATAAAACATCAGAAACCATCAAAGTTTCAGAGATTTATGTAGTAGTAGTTAGCATTTTCAGTAATGTTTTAAGACACTTGACCAAAAAGAAATATTATTTGTGTAAATATTGCTTGCTTGTTCAACTAATTTCCCACATCGTTGATGACTGCCGCTGCTAACAAGCTTGTTGTATATAGTTTTCAAATTCACTATTGTGGAGATGATAAAATTTCATTGATTCCACTATAATATTGTTTCCTATAAAGTCCAAATGATAGAATATGAAAGAAATAAGATTGTGATAACATTCTCAATTATGACTATATTATATAATAAAGGTGGAATATTTATCAATTGCTAACTTTGGATGTAAATTTCTATGATAGCGCTCTCCCTCAAATTAGAATGTATATATTGTAAAGGACCATCTTGTTGCAAAGAATGGATAATTGAAATGTTCCCAAAGCCTTCTCAAAAATATCTGCTAATTGTAGTTTGTTAGAGACAAGACAAGTTATGATCATTGTTGAGAGAACCACATTTCTGGTAATGGCAATCTATTTCAATGTATTTGTTCTTTTGTAAATAAAGTAGGGTATCTAGCAATATATTTGATTATCTGATAATCACGCTTAAGAATCATGAGTTGAGTAATAAGAGGGTTAAAATCTCAATAAATTTTTTTATCCACATCATAACACAAGAGAAATGCATCATAGAACCATATTATGCTTTTAGCATTAGATTTAACAACAGCAGTATGTCCTTTTAATTCAACATTAAACAACATGTTTTGATCCCCAAAAAAATAAAATCCTAAAGTAGTCTTTTGCTTGCAAAAAAATGTTTAAGCAAAATTTTTAGATAAACTAGTCATTTTCTAAGAAACTTTTTAACATATCTCAAAATTTTTAAGATGATATCTCAATGCTTCTTCCTAATTTGAAAGGAAGAAGACATATAATTATGGTGTTTGTGTTAGAGAAAGCACCTACTCTAATAGTGAGATCAAATACTATGAAAATCTTTAAGTAGTAGTGAAGTAGTGATTTCCAGGTTATATTGAGTGCAATGCATTTATGTTCAACTTTAAGTGGCTTGATCACGTTCCTAATTAAGAAACAAGAATAATAAACTTATATTATATCACCAAAGTTTAAATAATAGAGTATAACAAAATTTGATCCATTTGTTTTAGCACATCAAGCTAGTTAGGTATATATTACCTTAAATACCTTGGTAGAGTAAGAGACAAATTAAACTCGGAAGTTGATATTAAAACTAAACATAGAACAATTATTGAAGTATAATACATTATTTAACTTACTCAGCAAGAGCAGAAAATATCAAATTTTTGTATTACCCTTAATTTTATTGAGCAAAGGATTACCTTGGAGGATGTCACTGAAGCATACAAAAAAGTTACATGGTGGTTGAGTCTAATCATGATATAACACATAAATTTTAAGTTCATCATCGACTTATTTATCTGATGAAATTGAATAAGATTGAATAAGATTAGTAGGTAGTTTTAGATTTCATTTTCTTTCGGCTTTTATTTCTTATAGCACTAGCTTTTATTATTCACACCTGTGATATTTTCTGCTCTTAATTTGGGTTCTTTTACTTTTGTTGTTGTGTCCTACTTATATTTATGGTATTTTCTTGTCTTATTTCAGCATCTTCTTGATTTTACTTTACTTGTTTCGTGCTTAAACTTATATTATTTCCTACGTGTCATTATTTTGATCAATTTATTCCTTCTTGTTACATATGACTTCTGGCGGGAGTGGTAAGCAAACACCTCACAGACCAATTATGTTAGGTTGTACTATAGGAATTAGACAATTTAACATACCTCCTCATATATGAGCATCACTATGACGGCCACCACTATGACCACCACACTGATGCCTATCAGGCGTGTTCCTCCTACTCCGAGTACACGAGACTTCCCCACACCTTTAGTCCTCAGCACAGTGCCACCTCCGCCCTCCTCTGGGTTAGGCCTCTCTGCTCCTATCCATCCTCCTTAGTAGGAGACCCTAGGATGCCTACACGTCGAGCTGGAACGAGATTCATGAGCACCCTAAACTTATAGTAATTTGTATTAGTTTTCTATTATAATATTTAACTAATATTTATATTTCAAGACTTATCCATCTAGGAAGCTCGTCTACCAAATCATGGAGGTCTTTAAGAGTAGCTATGATGCTCTATATCCTCTTTAGAAGACGATTCCTATTGAGGTTCGAAACATGTGGTTTAGAGATTTTGAAGTGAAATCAATAGATTTTGAATTATAATTATAATTTTAAGTTAAGTTTCTATAATAATACACAACTTCATATTTGATTTGTAGAGGTCCTTTTGCTGGGATGTTGAGCATCATCAGTAGAAACAGTGAAACTTTGAGACGTGAGGCATGCATCGCTTAGGTGATATGCTCTTTGCAATATGCTAGAAGAACTGAAGGCCTATATAGATATACAAGGATGTCTGGGCCAAATTGTCTAGAGCATGGTCCACTCCTGAGCATCTCAAGAAGATGGAGACGGCTCAACCTATATGGGCATCCGATTGCTGAGGCATGGGCTTCCCATTACACACTGTATGTTCGGTCTCGCATATCGAATACCGAAATAAGTTGGCAATCATTCAATATTTGATAACTCATTTATGTAATTATTTAGCACTTATTCTTTTTACATATTAATAGAGGCTGGCACTTGAACGAAAGACCACCACTGTTGAGTTGCATACCCAGACAAATCGGTGCAAGGTTAACCAACAATGGGTTGATGACAGATCTTGGTGGGTCCATGTAATTAAAATGGTATTTTTATTTCTCTAATCTACTCACAGTCTTATGTAAATGCTAATTATCCCTTGTTTTTTACTTTTGTAAGTGGACTATGAGTGCTTAAGAGAAAACCAGAGTCGAAGCCCGATAGGTATTGGCAATAGTAGTGGTCAGTCTGAATTTTGCCACTCAGACTTCAACATTTAAAAGAATACTATCTGGAAGGGTATATGGCTTGGGCACTCAAGGATTTATCTACAAGGTTGACTGTCCCCGTTTAGGTCAAAGTTCGTCGTCATCAGTTGATGATGAAGTCTCTAGCCATGTGTCCTTAGTCACTGAAGATTTATGGGCCAGCCTCAATTTTTAGTTGTGCGCCAAGGGTGTCAGAGTCGAGAGGATCGAGGCAACCATTAAGTAGTTGTATGTGATGTACATCGTTGTGGCAAGCATACTCTAACCGACATTCAGGAAGAAGAGGAGGATGATCTCTAAGACCACTATGTTTTTTATTTTTTTTTTCCTTTTTCATTTGAATGTTACATTATGTCTTTCACAAACATTTTAGGAACTATTATATTGGATGATTTGCTAGGTTTTTTTAGATATATTTGATGATTTCATTCATTGTTAATATCTCTATATGTTCATTCAATCTATTGTGAGATATGGTTGATCTTATTGTTGAATATTATGATATCTTGTTGCAGGTGCGAAAAATTTGATAGACTTTTGATATTTTTTATTTTGGTACATGTTTATGTCTGCAAATTATTGGCTGAACAAATCAACCACAAGTTCAGCTGTTACTATGCAACTGATCAATTATGCACAAACTAACCTACAGCTGAAAAAAATATATGTGAATCTGCAGTAAATTACCAGCTGAAAATGTTAGTCGCAAGTTTAACCGGTACATATTCGGTTAAAGAATTTTGTCGCAAGTCAACCTATAGCTGAAAAAATTAGCTGATATAGTCAGCGCCGATCATTTTCAGCCAAAAATCCATTTTTGGCATAGCTTTTAGCAACAGAATATTTTCAGCCGTTTTTTAGCTAGTAATCCTTGTTGCTGACTAAAATTCATGCTATTATGGGCTAATATTTCAACCGTTCTGTATATCATGTGGTGACAATTTGATCTTTCTAAAGAGCATCTGTATACACAATGTATTTTAAGTTTGAATCAACTGTTGCATTTGATTGAACAAATTGGTCAACAAATCACTCCTTAAACATAAGCTCAATAAAAATGAATTGAACTGCAAAAGCAAATTCGATTTCATTGGACCAAAGTAATCTAAAATAATAAATATGATTTTCAAGATTATGCATTACCTTCTAATCCTAACTCAATTTGAACAGGAATCGATAAGGCTCACATTCCTAATGAACTCGTCCAACACAAGCTCAAAAAAGCAAGGCTCTAAAGTTGACCAATGACGGATTTATAGTCAACAAAGGATCTATAGAGGATGGAGGCTTAGTTGTAGAAATAATGAAAGATGTCGACTAAACAAAAAGCATGGAATCCATAGGCTCCATTATAGCTGGAAGCTTTAAACAGGAGGGGTGAAAGAATTTCCTCCTCCAGAAACTTCAACATTCTCTTCGTAAATTCGAACACTCTTTTTCACTCTTTCATCTTTCTCTCTCTTCAAAAAGCCTAGATAACAAGTTCTCTTTGGGGAACTGAGCTTCCCAATCAGAGGACCTTCCATGTTTAGCAACACACGGATGATAGCAAAATGAAAAAAGATGAAGAGAAGACAAAAAGTTATCAGTAGATAAAATAACCACCTCTCAATCTTATTTATAGAGGATAACTGAGGACAAAAAAAAAATGAAAAGTCTAAATATGCCGACATCATAAAGGAAATGAATATTTTAAAGACACTTATTTATGAATTAATGAAAATCTTCATTCTCTGTTTCTTTTTGCAGTCACAATAAAAAATATAAGAGAATCAAGAAACAAATATATATGAATTCTCTTAAATCGGATACAGTTTAAAGAGTAAATTAAATAAGTTCAGCATAATAAGTCGGCTCAGCACATCAACTAACAAAACAGCTATACTAGGCAACTCAACTAATCAATTTAACTAATCAATTTGCTAGTTTATTTTTATAAAAATAAAAATGAAAAGAAAATATATTGTAAAAGGTGGATAAATTTCATAACTAATATAGAAGGAAACGTTA